CAGAAACTAGGAAACTGTGGCAAAGCACAGGACNGAAACCGGTGCGGACTGACTTTAATCACAAGAGATACACCNGGTTGGCCACACCTCAGTGCACAAGCCGGTAAATAAGCACCACAAGAGAAGCCTTCACATGGATTCACTGCCCCCCGGGGAAAGCGAAAGAGGGGGAGACCGGGGAAAATGTGGGGGAAGGGGGTCTTCAAGGCTGGCCATCCTGGTGGATGTACCAACTAAAAATTACTATAAACTTAGAAAGGAACAAGAACAAGTACCAGATCTAGAGTTATCAACCTAGGACATGTAGGATTGAAGTTAACCGTTGAAGGGAAACTTATACCGGCTATAAAGATACAGAAGCTGGTGTGTTACGCCGAAAGGCAGTTATACCGACTATACAGATACAGACACTGTAGCCTTATTTCCAACCTTGTAGGTATCTCCGTTGATCAGTTCAGTCCAGGAGGGGTGAGTGACTCCAGTAGCTCCTGCCTTCACGGTAAGGGCTTCAGCCTGACATCCAGGTTTCCCTCCCCGAAGGTGGAAGTCTGCGGTTGGAATCGGGCCCTGTGGAGGTAGAGGAGATCTAGAATAAGACCGATCAGTATGTACGAGAACACGTTCACAGCCTATTTGGTCCCTAACAGCCTCCAGGCTTCGGGAGTCGGCTGGAAAGAGTAAACATTGGTAGCCTCCTTCTCAGACTTGTAGGGCGCGGCGTTATTTTCTTTCGGTGATTAACAGGAGTCATGCTGCGGAGGGACGATTGCCGCCGAGAGAGTTGTGTCGGGAGAGACGGTTTCCTGTTGGGCAGCGAAACCGTCTCTCCCCGGAAAAACTCCCTTAGCGACAAAATCGTCCCTCCGCTGCATAACTCCCTTCGCTCACCAAAAATAACGCCGCGCCCTACAAGTATGCTAAGGAGGCTAAGAAATTGGCCAAAACATGCATTAGTTGGTCCGCTAGAGAGTTCAGTGTGCGGCAAACTGTTGAGAAAAACATGGCAAGACAACATCGAACACAAGGCCACAATGGCCATCCCAGAGCCTACAACACAAGGATAACTGCCTGCCTGCCTGATGAAGTAACTAGGTTAGCTGAGAAGTACAGGGTTTATCAACACAAATCAAAAACAAGAAAGTTAGCAATGACACAAGACGCTTTTCCATTCTCACTGTTGACTAATCTAAAATGTCTAAACATAAAACTGTTGAATTTCATCGAAGTAATTGTGAATTAACCTTGCAGCTTTTCGGAGTAATCGAAAACTTGCAGTAATTAGGACAAGCACATTATTGTCTAGGGGGTGGATTTCCAATCTTACACGTGCGATTTTATTATTTTAGACTTGTTCGATTCAATTCTACATAACTGCATTAAACTTTGTTACTCAGTATTTTAACATGATATTATATAAAAAGCCGCAATAGAAATCTCACACCTCTTCCATGTAAATAGCAATGGCCCTTTCAAGTGCAAGTCGTTTCTGGTCCATTTCGACTTGAAACTGGTCAATAGACGTAACGTCGCAATACCTAACGAAAACAAAAGAAAACGAGAGATTATTTTCGGGACAAGGAGCAATTAAGAAAGGATGAATCTAGTTCAAGTCTTAAAAAACAGTTTATTCTATCTATATATATATTTACACTTCGAATTTCATCTGTCTCTCTCTCTCTCTCTGTGCGTATCTCTCTGTGCATATCTCTCTCTCTCTATGCAATATATATGTCACAGGGGAGATTGGAATCCAGGGAGATCCGGAATCCTCCTAGGGGAGATTGGAATCCCTATCTCTCCTAGGAGAATCTGGAATCCTCTTAGGGGAGATAGGGATTCCAATCTGGAATCCTCTTAGGGGAGATAGGGATTCCAATCTCCCCTAGGGGAATCTGGAATCCTCCTAGGAGAGATTGGTAACTTTCAATCAACTTCAGCATAGGCAGGCCTATTACTATTGTAGGTGAATTACTAGATTGGAATCAAGATTTGTCCTGGCATAATTTGCAGTTCTAATTCCATAATTGAAATCTTTCCTAACTTAGACCCAAATCTATTTCCAACTGGAAAAACTGTTTTTTTGGGTCACTTTCTCACAATGGCCTGATGCAAATATCTTAGTCTGATTTACATATCCAGTATGCTGAAATTGATTGAAACTTTAGGTGTGAAATAACTCCTAACTTCTTTCCAAAGCATTTTGATGCAATCAGAATTTCTCCTTTTAAAATTGGAGATTGTCCTGTAAGAATTCCCACTTGTCCTAGGATCGCTATCTCCCCTAGGAGGGTTCCAGATTCTCCTAGGGGAGATAGGGATTCCAATCTCCCCTAGGAGGATTCCGGATCCCCCTGGATTCCAATCTCCCCTGTGACATATAATATATATATTATTCATATAATATTATATTAATATATATCCAAACCCAAATTTCTCTATGGATCATATCAATCTCTATCTTAAATTCAGCATTTCGTCTTTAGCTTATGATTTACATGTAACTCGATCTTAATGAAATGATTCATTGCTTCTGCATGTTTGTTTCTTTGTATGTTTGTATGTATGTACATATGTACCGTTTTTCCTTGATTGTTCTGGTACCTCCTTCACTGCTATTGACAAGCTTCGGGACTTCATAGTACTTCCTTCCTGTTACAGGCTCTGACCGCAAGCTATGGGTTCACAATCAGAACATAGACGTATGTACAAAACACAAATGAAAACAACAACACAAATCATTGCACTGAACCCTAACTGGGGTTTTTAAAAAATTTAGAATAATCAACTGTTGCTTATTCAGTTCTTAAGCCATGGAACCTTCCTTCATTTGTATAAGATCTACCCTAATAGATAAGTGCCCTGTGTTAATTGGCATGCAAACTTATGTGTAACAAAACCGGTGAGAAAACGTTGCTATATCTACCCACTTGTTGGCAAAGCAGCCGTCTGCAGCATCACTGATGTCGAAGGGGAAGAGAAGTTTGAAGTTCAGGTTTAGTAGTTCTGACATGGTGCCCATGAACATCTCGATGGGTTTGGGGTAGGACGGGATGGACTTCAGCCACTCGGTGAAGGTCTCCTTGAAGTTAGTTGTGTAGAAGTCTGAAACGACGGCCGCCACTTCTTGCTCACCTCCTTCGACCATCACATGGGAGCTCGAGGACTTGGAGGACGAGCTGTAACATAAGTTTCTGTCAGATTATCGAACATTTGAAACCCTTTCTTCATAATATAGGTAAATGAATATATACGTACATTATTGTGAA